GAACCTGAAGTGTTGGTGAAGAATGGTGTTGCAGACAGGGCACGTCTGTGGCCATAGTGGCGTCGTCGAAACAACGCATGGACCGTGTCCTAGGCGTCGTCCATCGGTACCTGTAACTTGGCTCCGTCGAACGCCCGGCACCATCTCTCCCATCGCCTCTCTCTCTTTTTTTTTGCCGCTCGCCGCGTTCAAGCCATTTCACACGAGAGCAACCACCATCGTCGTCTTCTATCCTACACCACACTGCCAATCTTTCGCGCGCACATCCCATCGCAGTTTTATGCTTCAAAACCATAATATGATGATGAGAGACACCGTAGCGGAGGCCGCCGGAAATTTTGACTATCTGGTGTTGTTTAACGTGCCCTGACATCGCACAGTACCCGGGCTTCTACCATTTCGCCTCCACCAAAATGCCATCAACACGGCTGGGATCGAACCCGCAACCTTCGTGTAGCAGCCGAGCACCCTAGCCACTGATCCACCGAGGTGAACAAACGCGGCGATATAATGTTAAATGAATAATGAGAAATTCACATAAATGTGCTGTATCAAGAAACAAACAAAAAAGACTGATAGATAGATAGATAGATAGATAGATAGATAGATAGATAGATAATTGGTATGCTGGGCTGCGATCGATGGAGCAGTACATCGACGGAGTCCTACATTGCTTTCTTTGTCAACTATCTCTACGCTGTGCTTCCAATGAATATTTACCGAGGCGTCAAAAACGTGCGTAGCTGCGTAAATGGGCATGTTGCCTTGCGGACGTGTATGAGTACTTAGCCAGTTCGCACAAGGAAGAGTTGCGCCGTTGTGCGCACTTCGCAACTGCTATTGCAGCAGACATTCGAGTATAGTTCGAAGGGGCCAGCTTACAGGTGCGCAGACATGCTCTTCCTTACGGAACGCCTCAAGGGTTCACAGATAATCAGAGCGAGGTTAGCGTCTAAAATAACCATGCGAACAGGGTCTCAGGACGCTATCGCATTCCACACTTGAAGACGAAGTTCAATCGCCTTCGGCGTTTTATTAGGGGCAAAGCTTCTTGAGGCGTGGGTCTGTACATCCTCTGAGTTATTTAGTTGTAGTAGTAGTAGGTAGCGACCTCTGGTTTAGTTCTTGCAGTGTTCACTAGATGGTGGTAGTTGATGTGGAATGTTATAAAACTAGATGGTGGCACTTGGAGTGTTCACCAGATGTCGGTACTTGTAGTTGATGAATGTATGCGAGATGTTATAAAACTAGATGGTGGTAGTTGATAATGAAAGATGCGAGATGTTATAATAGGAATGATGTCAGATATAGCGCGTGTCGTCGGTGGAAGGCAATCGTTTGGTTTAGTGCGACGATGTAGGCTATGGGGAGCGTTGTAATAAAATTTGCTTGCTGTTGGCGCGCCGTGAAGCGTCGCGACACCGCTACTAAGATCCTGCCGTACGAGAGTGGGAGGCCCGAGCGGCACGGCATGTACACATAGCGTTTCTCACGTGTTTAATGGATGATCGACTCTGTGAATTACACGGAAGATTCACGGTTTACCGTTGATTCTCTCCGGAGCTTCGCCCACTCAACATCATTCACTCCATGGATATGCTGCGACTTTTTTTCTCTCAGCAGAATATATTATGTTTTCCTGATGCCTTTAATTTCCCCGCCACTCCTCTTACTACACGCTGGCCTACAGAGAGATTTCAGCAGTGACGAGGTGCGTAATTACGGCGCGGGTCACACTCACAGCACCCATAGGGTACTATGAATCCCCGAACTTAGAGAGGCTGCCGATAGAAAATGAACCTCTAGGGGGAACTATCCACCCATGGACGCCCTAAAGTCAAGCTGTATTGCGAGATCACATATGCTGAGTGCGACATTAACTGTGGTTGGTTTAGGAGTGCTGGACAAGCATACACGGTGCTGATAATTAGGACTTCACATCACGTGTAGCAGAAGACTCACTGAGAACAGAGTAGGATCCGACGCTTCTAATCCACGAAGACTCTGCCGCAAACTATGGCGAGCTACGCTCTCCGGATTTTGTGCCGACCGGTTGCGACCCCGTGATCTCCTACGACAGCGCAGCTCTGGCCGACAGGCTCGCCCTAAGCCATCTCCTGCCACCGACAAGAGCTCTCGCTGAGTGGTGCCCCGTCATCGAACTCCTGTGACCGTGTCCATCGTTTCTATCTCCTCTTTACTTCCGTCATTTTCTGTCGTTCGCTGACCCTGCGCCTTGCTCTCTCCTTCCTCTATCTATTTACCTTTTAATCATGTCCTTTTAATCTCTCCTTACCCCCATCCCTAGTGAGCTACTGTTGAGGTGTCACACTCTAATGCAGATAGTTACGGGGCTCACCTATGTATTCTTTTCTCTTTAAGGATGACATAAGAGTTATGCAACATGGATTCATAGGTAACATGCACTGTAACTACTCAGGATTTTAAAGACGAAAAAAAAAAATTGCTGCGTTGCTGCCATTTACAGCAAAGAGAACAAGCGAATGAAACAGCTCTATAAGGATGCGAAAAGTGCAGTCACAGTAGGAAGTAGCACGAATGAAAACGAACAATAGGCTACTATGGTATAGGCTCTGTGGGTATGGTACAGCACATATGTTACACAATTTGGCAAAAAAAAATGGCTCCGTATAATGAAACTTTCTCGAGAATGCACAAAAATAAAAAGTGCGCATAGAAAAGCCATAATAGGGGAAAAGAAACAATTGAATGAGTTTCACAATGTGCGGAGATTTAAGTGTGATATGAGGCATAAACGTAACACGAAATGTAAAAAGTACGGACTATATGTTCGCAGAGATAAGAATGGCACTCATATAGAGTGCCACTCTTATATAGAGGAGAACAAGAACAAAATTAACAACTAAAACACAGGCTTACCTAGACGTTCTAATGTAAAAATCATTGAGACTTGCTCCAACGCTTCACCTTTTTCCACAAAGAGCGCGAGCTGGCTTCAGAAAGGAGTAATCTACGGTGAATCGCAGCCAGGCATGGACCCAGCGACTCATTTTAAGGGGGGGGGGGGGGTGCGGTGACTTGAAGTAAGACTGGAGGGGGGGGGGGGCTGGATCCTGACTCTTTTGTTATTAGTAGCATGGTTACCCGTCATAGCATAAATACTTCCAATGTATGCTCACAGTGGTCCCACTTATTTGTTATAATTGCTGATGACAGAAGCTTGGGGGGGGGGATGATCGTTTCGGTTTGGCAGGTTTACTTAGCGCTGGTCGTGTTCACAAGCTGTGCATATTAAAGGCATCTTGCCTAATGGCATCACAGCCACTTTACCTTTCGGTGTTGTTCTTAGATCGCGAGATTTCACGAAGCGTTAGACGCCACCATTCAGATATGGCCGATAAAGAAAAATCACAGCATATTCATGGGGTGAATGATGACGAGTGGGTGAAGCTCCGAAGGGAATCATCGGTAAAACGTGAATCTTCCACGTGATTCGCCCTGTACATCATCATTTAAGGGTGTGAGAAACACCGTGTGAGTATGCCATGACGCTTGGGCCTCCCGCTGTCGTACGGCAGGATCTCGGCGGTGGCGGCGTCGTCGCGCAGCTTCACGGTGTGCTTCTGCCTCGCGGGCTCGCCATCCAGATTCTGTCTGCGAGCAGGCGCTGCCACCGCCTTGCACGCTCGCCGCTCTGCAGCCTTCTCCATCCGGCGACAGCAAGCACGCACCAATAGCAAACGAATTTTATTACAACGCCGCCAATAGCGTACGTCGCCGCACTAAATCGAACGATTGCCTTTCACCAATGACACGCGCCATACTTGACACCATTCCTTAAATAACGTCTCGCATCTTTCATCATCAACTGCACGTATCACCATCCAGTTTCATAAAATCTCGCACCTTTTGATCATCTCCAAGTATAGCCATCTAGTTTTATAACATCTCGCATGTTTTCATCAACTACAAGTACCTCCATCGAGTGAACACTGCAAGAACTAAACTGAAGGTGGCTACCCGCTACTACTACAACTACATACCTCAGAGGATGTACAGACCCACACCTTAAGGAGCTTCACCCTAAAATTGGTTCATGACCAAATGCCCTGCCGTCCTGTCATAAAAGCTTCATGGGCCCCTTCAAGGACAGATTCTCTAAAAGATGTTGGCACGACGAGCTGGTTGAAGGTTCGGCCTGTATTTGCACTGTAGGTACAGAGGTCCAGGTAGTGGCTGTACTGCGACCTCAAGTTTTTGCCTACTTCAGCCAACAGGGACTTGAGCGTTTTGTCATTCTGCTGTTGCTCTGCGAGTCTCTCTGCTATTTTCAAGCTTAATGACTGGTGCACACAACGGTGTTATCTTGTCGCCTCGTGGCGGGACCATTAGAGAAACTTGGAGAGGCATGTCTTGTACGCCGAGGAGTAGTCGGATCTTTTATTCTGTGAGCACGTGCTTAGTACGCTATACTTGTATATGGAGGAAGTAATGATTGATATGTGGGATTTGATGTCCCAAAACCACCATAGGAGGGCTCCTGAAGTTTCGACCACGTGGAATTCTTTAACCTGTACCCAAATCTGAGCACACGGGCCTACAGACATTTGGCCTCCATTGAAAATGCAGGTGCCGCCACTGGGACTCGATCCCACGACCTGTGGGTCAGCAGCCGAACGCCTTAGCCACTAGACTACCACGGTGGGGCTATATAGAGGAAGCAGGGGTGTGGATTCATTTCAGGGGTGTGATTTTTAAGTTGGTTTGACACAACAAAAGGTTTCGGAAAAGTCAAACGTAGTCAACGACACAACCGCTGTGTACAGGGTTTCTGTAAAGTTTGCCTCGTTTTTCTACTACGCTTTGTTTAGTGATCACTTTCATTGTTCAGCTTGCACCTGGCGATGTTCGCTGCATAGAAACACATTAACGCCGTCACCAAAGAAGTTACTCTGCAGTTCTTGTGCGAGCTCACGGGAGGCGCCCGGTTTGTCAGGGTATTCTATAAACCACCGCTTGGACCGCGAGCATGCAGGTAAGGCTCACAGCTTGATGCACGTCTTCCACCCGTGAATTCGCTACGAGAGGTCGTGCGGCCTAGTCTGTTACACAGTTTCAACTTTACGGCGTAAGTTGTTACGAATTCAGGAGAATAACTTCACTTGCATGAGTGTCGTATTGCGAATAATGAGAAGAAAAAAGGAAACCAGGTTTTTATAAGGGTCTGAACTAAGCTCACCGAGGGGCAAACTGTTCTACTCCGCTTATTTTTGTTTTGTTTTTTAATGATATTACCTACAAACGTGCTTAAACACAAAGTGAACGAAAATCGCCAGTGCCAAATCTGCATGCTCAAAAGAAACGTTGCAGATGTCAAAATGACACTAAGCTCTCCCATTTCATCATTTCAATAAGTAAAAAGATACACAGAACAGTTTTATATAATGAACATTAAAAGAGCACATATCATGAGCAGCACATAACAATTCGGCTAGTAGTGTGCTTTTTGTAAAATGATTTAGCCATAATGTGGTTTGCAGAAAAGGTGACCACGTTATACAATTTGCTACGCGTGCTTGTCCAGCTTGCTAGTTTTTTAAAATCTGTGCATATTCATTAGTTAAAAATGTCAGCAAGCACATAATTAGTTTTGGACGGTACTAGATAACGTGTACTAGAAGAATGTGTACCAAGTTTTTTTTTTGAAAGTCGCGTGGATAGCATGCCGAAAATGGCCGTCGTCCTTTCAGCCAATACACTTCTATTGGTACCGAAACAACGTAACCACAGTAGAATTATAATGTAATAAAATGCCTTTCTTAATTATTCGGGCTTTCCCAAGTGGTGTTCTTCTATGCAGTCACGATGTGGCCATGCAGTCCTATATATAACGCGTGGTACAGTATAGCAGCGGAAATAGCAATCGCACTATAGTGTTACACAAACATTTTCTCTGGTGTAGAACAGAATCTCCTCTGAGAAACGGACTTCCAGAAAAGGCACTTACACGTACACTTCACGCATGAATCATCGCACATAGCGAACCTCTTTAAAGCTTCATTGCATGATGCTCCTTTAGTTCCCTTTCATTTCTTGATTCTTTCAGATGCTAAATACAACAGAGAAAAGGCAAATGTGGCAGTAATGCAATACTTGGTTCCAAGGTATCTACCACTTGACTTAAAAACACAGGCTTTATAATAAGATAGCTTTTGCACACTTTATTTTACAGGACAAAGAGAACAAGACTGGAAACAGTTGTCCATTTCTTTCCGCGTGCATTTTCGCCTGCAGCTGTTGTGCACGTTTATAAAAATATATTTTTTGCGCAGTAAGTATTGCCCCAATTTTAGGTATACGAATAGAATGGACGCATTGTAGTGCACATGCCCCTTGACTGTGCCCATTCGGGCAAAGCAAAAAGATTAAAAAGCATGTTACACTCACTGCATGGCATTTAGAAAGAGACGCGTGCTGCACAGTCAGTGATCAATTAGGTTATACAATCGTGGGCCATACTTTTCGGAAGACATCAGAGGACCCCTGACACCTAACTTGGAAACTCAAGATGCTTGCGTTACTTCAGAGTCCTGCATGCGGGGGTACTTCATACCGGTCATTAATGACGAGCGCTGCCTAGGAGCTATTACAGTTTGATTTAAAATAAAAATTAGTGCTAATGTAATTATTACACCAATCAATATCTTCGCTGGTTTGACGTAGACGGAAAACCACCGCATAATATTCCATGAGTATTGCGAATATCGTCGACACCACAGAACATTTGCAGAGGCGCGCAATACCCCGTCTGGCACAACGTCACTAGATCTTGCTTGTTGGTCTGGGATCCGGTGAGGACTATTGTTCGTCATCGCTCTCGCTGTGTGGTCGGATTGCCCTCAAGGTGGTTTGACTGCTTCTGCCAGCTGCCGCTACTGCTAGCGAAATCTAAAATACGAACCTCGATCGAGCGGCAGAAGAGCGACCAAAAGCGAGGCCACCACCACGAGTGGGGGCAAGCTGGTTGTGAGCTAGCGTTGGGGAAGTGGACGGCAATACGAGTAGAAAACTTCAGAACCGCATTCGCGAAGCTTTGCGTATGCGTTACGTTCACATCGCACGCTAACCTCTTGCGGGCTAGCGTTAGGTGATGTCCGCAATGTCCCCGTGCTTTGTGTTCCGTACGCCAAATCTCTCAAATGAGGACGAATTTCCTCAGAGCTCCATTTCACAGCTAAAGTCGATTAGCTAAAGCTCCACCCACCCATGTTCGTGCACTTTAAGCACACGACCTGCGATCAAATTAGTTGCCGGCCACCGCAACGTGTTTCCGACGAGGCGCCGTGCAGCGACGAGGCTTTTGGCCCCTATCACGAGCCCGCAGCTCAACACTGCGGCAAAACATCGATGAACGACGTGGTCTCAAAGCACTGGCAACCTGACTCCCAAGCTAGCCTTCGCGGTGCGTTTCATGCGCGCCATATACAACACGATTGAGCCCGTCGTAGGCAATTGCGTAGCGTTCCGCACACGCTCCCAGTATGGCAGAATGAAGATTGATGACTTCTAAAGGAGTAATATTAGCAATAATATTATCTGGCACTTTACATCCCAAAACCAAGATATGACTATAAGAGACGCCGTAGCTGAGGGCTCCGGAAATTTCGACGATATGGTGTCCTTTAACGTGAACCGACATCGTACACTCTGTGGGGAATCGACCATTTTGACTCCATCGCAATGCGACCATTACAGCCAGGATTTGACCCGCAACATTTGGATCCGCATCCGAGCACCGTATCCGATGTTCCACCGCGGCGGATCCATCTGCCGACTTTAGCGATCTCTTGTGCACTACGGAACAAATGTGACTTGTCTTATTTGTGGCGGCAGACAGAACCCTCAGCCTACTCGATCGATTCCCTACATTCTTCAGGCCATGCATCTATTTACAGATATGCTAATTAAAAATAGTATTTACAGCTTCTTCATTTCTCAGGGGCAAAGTAGCCTTCGTATCTTTCTTTGCCCATGCGAACATATTTTCGCAAACTGGTGCAACGATACGCGAATTCCCCATCTTTTGGAGGCAATAAATTCGCAGCTGAACACTACTGCTCATTTTGTGCGAGCAATTTTTTTTTGATGCCGTGCGTAGCATAACGTTAAATCCTTCGTTTAACAATTATGTAATCCGCCAATAGGAAAAATAAACACCGGTTTCGGTGAACCCGCAATGAAACCTTTGCGCATATACAAAGAACCTGCAAATTATCAAAGCAAGAAACTTCACGAATGAATTCTAGTCCCATTTCTTCTTAATTAAACACATTTTAGAATGTCCTCATTTCGTTGTAGAGCGTGTGACTTGCGAATTAAAATGAAAAAATGATCTCTGTACCTGATCACTGTAAAACCTCTCTGTAGTTTGGTTACACGCAATCATAGAGAATTATTTATTTGTTCAACTTATCAAAAAGTAATCATTGAATAATTATAAATTCGATGTTCTACCTTCCTATGCATACAATAGCATGTTTTGACAGACTGTATCGATGCGTCATCAATCCTTCGCGTACCGCTTAACTCGTACATTCTGCATACATTCGCTTGGTTATACCTACACTGAATACATCATTCTTTGCTCATTTCATGCAGGTGTGTTCAGATATATATAGTATTTTGGATGTAGTAATGGTCAACAATCGGAGATCCCTTTCGTTTCTCTTTCTCCTTTGGTGTTCTCACGGCGAAAACAAGCAGCCGGCGACAGAAAACAGCCGGCGCTTGCACTTGATCGGTTCGACGTACACACTGCTTCCATATGTTTCGCGCGCTCGCGTTGGTTTCTGGGACTGCTTGAAAAAATGCCTATAGAGAGTTATACTGGTTGTGGACACCGGCGGACAACTACGGCACCACACTTGACCCGTCTTCTGATCTCATCACAGCTTTCGCTTTAAAATTACAGAAAAACCAAGAAGGCTGCCTAGCTTCCGACTTCCTTTTAATTTGGCACCAGTAGTGGGAAGTTTATTCATTAATTCATAATACCTCAAAGATACCACATAGGACATTACATGAGGGGTGGGCGAACGAAAAAAACTGGCGGGTCAGGTTAGGTTTCATGACTTGAAAGATGGTCTTCAATGGCAGCTATGAATTGAGCAATGTCGGTGATGAGGGTGACATCGGATGGAAGGGCATTCCATTCTCCGGCAGTATACAGGAAAAATGAATGTTGGTAGGTGGCCGTATGTGCACGTGGTAGATACACGGCATTTTGGTGCGAGTGGCAAAAGGAACGATGTGCAGGAATGATGATTTAGTTTCCTGGAGGCAGCGAATGGAAAAACCTAAAAAATAATATTTCAATAAAGTTGATTGACTTGTGGGGTTTAACGTCTCAAAACCACCGTATGATTATGAGAGACGCCGTAGTGGAGGGCTCCGGAAATTTTGATCACCTGGGGTTCTTTAACGTGCACCCTAATCTGAGTACACGGGCCTACAACACTTCCGCCTCCATCGGAAACGCAGCCGCCGCAGCCGGGATTTGATTCTGCGATCTGTGGGTCAGCAGCCGAGTACCTTAGGCACTAGACCACCGCAGCGGGGCAGTAGTGCAAAGTTGCTACAATTTTATGTTGAGCTGTGGCCTGAGTTACACTTCAACAGGAATCACGTTCCCTTAGCCATCATCCTTATTCTCATCATCATCAGTCTGACTACGTTCACAGCAGGACAAGGGCCTCTCCTATGCTGCGCCCCTCAATTCGGTCTTGTGCTTGCTGCTGCCACTTTATAGCCGCAAATGTTCTAATGTCATCTGCCCATCTAACTTCCTTTCTTCCCCTAACCCACTCGCCTTCTCTGGGGCTCCAGTAAGTCACCCTTGATGGCCAGTGGTTATCCACCCTACGCGCTACATGCCCAGGCCTTAGTGCTTCGCCCCAAATGCTATGCTCTTCAAAACAGTGTATGGCGGCAACCTGCAATAAAGCTATTTATATGTTTTTGTTTCATAATTCTTTTTCTTCTTTTGCCCTTTCGCTTTAGTACATCAACGCTTTCAGTGATTTGTCTGAAATGTGTATTGAGTTCCGAAAGAAATCCTCGCGAAGTCAGAAGCCTTTAGATTTCTTTACGCACAATATGCATTGTGAAATTTGATACAACCATGATGACCAAAAATGCTCTTACTTTTCATTCTCATATAGATACAAGTAGAAGCTCCCAGGAGGAATAGCCACAGCCTCAACAACAAATATTCAGGCTGGGTCATACCGTCGTCATTGGGCAAGAACGAGAAACGCGCGCGAAATACTGCCCCCTCCCCCTCCCCAGCCAGAAAAAAAAACATCACCGATATAGAATGGAGCTCTCCTGACGAAAACAGCCCGTCTTTATATTTTGTCCAGCGAAATTTCGAGATGAAGGGCTGAACATCAATTTAGTATAATTGTGTCATCATGTAGCAGCCCAGTTGTTTCCTACAATAAGAACATTGTATTACCAAAACAATCGGCAAGCAGTATTATCCACAAAAGAATATTTAATAATAAAATATTAGCTACAGGAGCATTGCGTACAAAAACGTCCGTATAATTTTGAGGGACGCTGTAGTAGAGAGCGTTGAAAAGTTCGACCTCTGGAGCTTTTCGAACGTGAATCAAAATCTAAGTAGACGGGCCTCAAGAATTTTTACCTCAGCCGCAACACAACCAAAACAAACATTTATTAACTCTGGATTTTACAACGCCACCCGAGTAGCCACGTGGCTGTTTCGTTGCCTTGCACAGACCGAGGAAGTGAGTTTAATCTACTACGGTAAATGCTCATAAGGATAGTTTGAAAAGCATTCCTGCCTCTCTAAATAAATTTCCATGAGTAATATAAACATACGTAGGCTACAATTTAAGGAGTCCATAATTACGGCATGCTTTAGACTATGCTTGGGATTATCCAAACGTGAAAAAAATGAGTTTATCAGTTTTGTCAGCGTATCAGCGCCTAAGAGAGAAAGAGAAACAGAGAGGAAATGCAGGGAGGTTAATCAAGCTTGGCCCGGTTGGTTACCCTACACTTAGAGTGGGGGAAAGGGGGAATAATAAAAAGAAAAGAAATAGAAAAAAAGATATACAAATGTGCCTAGGGGCTAAACGCAGCGTTACTAAGTGCACAGACATTTTTTCATACGTTGAGCTAGGGCTACTGGCACCTCACCGCTGTCCGATAGCTAATCATATCGTTATTGATTGATTTGATTTGATTTATGGGGACTAACATTCAAAAACACCGATAGGATTATGAGAGACGCTGTTGTGGAGGGCTGCAGAAATTTCGACCACCTGGGGTTCTTTAACGTGCACCCAAATTGAAGCACACGGAATCTTACGATTATTGTTTGTTACATGCAGAGAAATGCCATGCAAATCTAACACTCGGCTGCTGTCTTGCAGACTGTAGGGAAGAAACTCGTAGTGCTCACCATGCAGATGCAGAGGATCATTAAAGCGTTTGTTTGCGTGTTCACAATTGCTCCGTTGCTATCAGGTGGCTGGACTTTGTCTGAAGTCATCCCTGACATGACAAAGGTAGGCATTATCAGCAACTTTACATAGCAGTAATTATTTCTCAAAATAATGTACCAGCTCGCATGCCTTTCATGTTCACCAGATTTTTTTATTGTATGTCTAGGAGCAGGTGCGTCGCCAATATGGTAACCATTAAACAAATCAGCGTATATTACAGACATGACAACCATGGTCCAGTTTGTTTGCCACGTGTTCTCTGAGTCGTAAAAGCAGCGGCAGCTCGGAATAATGATGTAGGAAAGTACAAGAGAAAAATATATTGCGAGCAATGCTATACCAAAAACAGTACATACTATAAGTCGATGCAATATAATAATTTTATAAAAATTTACAATTTCAATTTTCTCTTATTTGTTCGCGCAGTAGTCAGCCCTTGCGCCTATTTAATTAAAGATGCTGGAGTGATTGAAGCCTTTACCGATAACTGCTTCCCAAGAGCAGGAAAACAATGCACTAAGACATGTGAAAACTGTGCCCTCTGGCTAACTTAAAATGAGAAATACAGCTCTGCTTATCTTCGTCGTGCATATCGGGCGTAGCAACGCAACTGACGTCTCGCTTATTTCGAAGATATTTCTGAGAACGAAAGAAATAGTTGTACCAGATTTAATAATAGCAATAATTTATGTTAGATCAAATAAAAGAAGACGTGCAGTGTAAAAATATACAAGAGGTCCGGTAGTAACAGACTGAAATGAAACTTTCTATGCATAAGATGGTGAATTATATACACCAAATGGCAATGTAGAGACCGAGTATTGACAAAAGGTAACAGCAAAATAAAACAAATCAACGAAGATAATATACAAAAGTAATTGAATAGGTAAAATAATGTGGCTAAGTCAATAGTCCCAATTGCGTTGCAAGCATAAAAGTTCCACAGATTCAGGCAAATATTTTCGTATATTGTTTGAATAATACTCTTTGTTATGTCTGCTGTGCTAAGGCGTTGGCGCGGCGGTAAATATTTCATCAAAGCCTATTATCAGATCAGCTACATGATTTGGTAAAATTAGTCTTGTTATAAGCAGCACTGAGCTACTATATAAATAAATGGTACGGGGGAAAATATCAAAAAGTTATGTACGATACATATACCCAGTAAATGTTAGACAATGCGGATTTCCAGTTTGCTGTTAAAGATATTACCTGAGCCAAATAAATTTGCTCTTTTATGACCAATTCAAAGGATTTAACGATTGCTAAAATTAAAACAATGGCGTAGTTCGTTGTCGTTATAGTTGTGAATTTCAGTACTTGAAAATCAATGCTTTATTTTAGTCATTTGATTAAAAATCATATTCAATGAAAATATTAGGTATTGAACTGTAGTTACCTTACACCATTGTAGTTTCTCGGTGTGCATTGCAATGGTATATACTTCATTCCACTGTTGTTTGGATATGTCAGCTTCGAGTAGCTTTTGTGTTACCGTTTGATTATTATTAGCAGTAACACTACTTTTGTTGGTTGTTTAGTCTTTTGCATTTATTTGTTTGAATGTGTGGTATGAGGGGAAATAAGGCAGTAACGTTGGTTCAGTTCGGGGTCTCTCTGCGTGCCATGTCACAATGTCAGATACAGTAAGGAATAACGTAGAATAAATCATACACCTAAGTCAATCTGAGGTTCTTAAAATTAGCAATGTGACGCTGTTATTCATAGTTGAAATTGCCGTTTGGTGTGATCAGTATATGTTGTATTATGTTTTGTTGTTTTTGCATGGATGCGGAAATAATGAATCAATCGCACGCAACACAAGGAAGTGTGCGAGTTTTGTGCACGAGTTAAATAACGAGCATCCATTCACGTGTACTCTATTCTGACACTCACAGTTTCTGAATACAAGCGATCCCATATGGTCATACATGACGACATCGACGAGGAGAGACTATGACTGCAAGGTGGATATCATTGACAGTATACAGGGCACAAAAGTGCTTTTTCGGAGATTTCTCGGTTATCGAAAATTTATAATGAGGTAAGTTTCAAATATATGCGTATGGACTTTCTTTTACCAACCTAGCCACATTTTTTTTTCAGTGACTGGGTGCTGTTTCTAAATGGACGCTTATACTATAATAGCGCTCGACACCGAAACAATGGCCCGATATACAATGCAATGAACGTGAGTTTTAGAGGTACGCATGACTTCTCCCTAATAATTTTTAGCATTACTTTGAGCCTTATTTGAACTCACATTTACAGTTACGCCTACTCACACGTATTTCAAAGCAGTATTGTTCATAACCGATTTCAATATTTATTGCTCAGAGGTGTTAATTACGTAAGGGTGGTGCCTTGCTCTCCACCCGCCTACTTTTTTCACAGAAGTTCTTGATAAAATACTTCTTATGTTTTTTTTTTCAAGAAACATGTTCATGTTGATTTGCAGCCACTAATAACTCGTATTTGAAGGTACTATATCAAAAGGCACTGAGAAGAGCACATATTGCGTGATATATCAGTTATTGATACCATGTTCGAGAGAGCTGATTCTGGACTAACGGAGTCGGGAGTCTAATCAATCGGTCTCGCTCAGACTCAGATGTAGGCGTGAGTCTGAATCTGAGTGAGCCCGAGTGAGTAATATTTTAATGTGTTTGAGTTCGAGCGAGCCCACATCAAGAAAATCTTCGTGAGTGTGAGTACGAGTGAGTAAGGCACAGTAAATGTTTGGTAAGCCTAAGTGCAAGTAAGCCCTTGCAAAATACGTCTATTTCGTCCCTGTTTTGCAAAATGTGCTTGACTTGGCTGCTTGGTGCATATCATGTGAACAATAAGCCAGTTCTGAAGACAGGACAAGGTGAACACACAGACAAGGGGACGCACACAATCAGCACCCAGTCGGCGCCTTCTCGTCCTTTCTTAAGCACTGCTTTATTAATAACACAATTTCATCTCCAGTTGCCTTTGAAAGAAAAAACGGAAACTAAAACAACTGGTTTATTCTGTTTCATAAGAGCGGGGTAGAACTTTGTATTTTATAACATGTACTAGTTGTTGCAGTAAAATGAAGAATTACACAGGAGCCCTGCCACTGTGTAATTATTACTGAAGATCCATGGCAAACATCTTCTAATTTCTTTGACTAGTTTTGTGCGCTGCGCCATAGTGTAACTTATGGGAAGCGCTTGTCTTGGGGTCTTCACGCCCAAAAACCAAAATATAATTTTGAGGGACACCATAAGGGAGGGCTACGCCAAATTTAAACATCTTACGTTCCGTACATATGACCCATAAACGGGAGGGCGTCCAGCTTTTGACTTCTTTCGAAATAAGCAATAAGTGCAGTGTGAAGACCGGCGGTCACGAGAATGTAGAAATCAACATTTTCACTTTTTTTTAGCAACGACGTTGTTCTTAGCCGACGCTTTCATATCCGGCGTTGTGATAGCGCTGATCACGTGGCCTCGTATTGCAGCGAGAGTGGGCCTCCGAAGCAATAGAAGGAGTGCGTGTGCTAGGACAGGCGAGGGCAGAGGATGTCAATGGAAGAACATTCGAGAAACGCGCCAAGTTCTCGTTCTCCCGATGTAGAAACCGTCCAACATGAGCGTCAGTGAGAGCTGAAGAAATAACGGGCATGTCACCGCCGAGCCTACCGTTATGTTCTCAAGAGAGACCGAGACCAAGTGACAACAAACGGAAGACATGAAAACTATACATAAGCACAATGTAACCCGTAAAAAGCCGGTATAAGCTTCGGATACTGCTCGCCAAGTAGAGCTAGCTGGAGGTTTCTGCTTATAGTAAGGATGAACCAAATGAAACACGAACGATACTGCACAGATATCAATGGTGTCGAGCGGAAACATAGCCCATCCATTTCACTCGTGAAGGCACCGCTTAGAGGAAGGCGCCCCTACTCTGGTACCTGGCGAATCTTGTCTAGAACGTTTCTCAGCCGCCGCAGTGGCGCAGTGTTTAATATGCTGCAATACACGGGTTCAATCTCCACCAATGGCAGTTGCGTTTTCAAGAGAGCTGCACTTCTAGAGGCCATGTACTGTGCAATACACTAAACGTAAGAGAGTAGAGAAAAGGATTATCATAGATCATTCTGCGTACGTCGTAATAGCTGCGTAGCCTTCTTTGATGTGGCGTTATTCAATCTCCTCACGTTGGTTAACTTTCAGAATCTTCCTTAATATGTGCGTTTGTATAGACTTGCGTTTGTTTTCTAATATGCGATGACGATTGTGGTGCGAAAACAGAGGAACAGCCGGCGCCACAAACAGTATACAACCTCTTCTTATATAATTTTATTAATTTGATAAAGCTCACCTTCGCGAGGTCTATGAAGTAATGAAGTAAAGATCTGATAGAATATATCCTGGTTTGTGTGTGTTTCGCTGGAGCTTGTGCGTCTATGTTTGATGTAGTAGCACCATCAGGGCAAAGACAGCACAGAAAAAGAGCGACGAAAGCAACAAAGGGTGCAAGGGCGTCAAGGAAGCTTCGCTTTGAGGTGGGGTGAAAATTCTTTGGTCAAAACCTAAATTTCGGGATTTTAGAATTACATGATGAAAAATTTACGTATGTTTCGTAAAATATATCAAACTTGGGCACTTGCACTTTGAACGGAATTTGTGGTCCTGTCCTGCTTTACTCAAAACGTGTTTAGAATTTGCGTACCTTTTTCTAAGAAAGCTGGCGGGCTTAAGCGAACAATGTTTTTGACGCGTCCTAACTTTTTGCATTTACGTAACTTAGATACTCGATCGATTGTTATTGATTGATATGTGGGGTTTAACGTCACAAAACCACCATATGATTATGAGAGACGCCGTAGTGGAGGGCTTCGGAAATTTTGACCACCTGGGGTTCTTTAACGTGCACCCAAATCTGAGCACACGGGCCTACAACATTTCCGCCTCAATCGGAAATGCAGCCGCCGCAGCCGGGATTCGAACCCGCGACCTTCGGGTCAGCAGCCGAGTGCCTTAGCCACTAGATTACCGTGGCGGGGTATTTTAGATACTCGAATAAGTAGCCTATAATATTTGTTATTTTTGAGTAACAATTTTCATACACCGACAACCATCAAAGAACATAAAAAATCTTATTTCTCTTGTACCCCCCCAACTTTGGTTTCACTTGTGCACAGCGTCAGCAGCTACTTTTTGGAATAGTATCGTAATGCTCTGCAGATGAAAGCTCATATAAAAGGTCCATATGCATGAAAGAAAGATTATACTAGACAGAATTTGAACCTGATTGTGACCTCTTATGCAACCAAACACGATGCAAATTTTATAGCCATAACGTCTTTTGCCACTGCTGAACAGCCAGACTTTGAAAGTCCCTTTCGAAGTGTGATGCTGCCTTGACACATTGTGACATGACGTGAAACTTAAAATCTCGTCGGGTGGCCAATAATTGATTCACTTATATTGCAGAGCATGGCAATCCTCTAGACAACGAGATGTTATTATACCAAAACGTGAATAATACATGCGGCATATTTGAAGTCAGCGACTTGGCACATGGTAAGAGTGTTTTCATTTTACGTGACTCCGTCAAACACTGCGAAAACAAGAAACGTAAGAAAAACTCGACGGATACCTTGTGAAACAGTAGGCGCATAACAGTTTGCGACATGTTTTACTTCTGAGCCAAGTATTACAAGGTGGATCAACGCGATTTCATAAGCGCGTTTGCTATGTGGAAATCGTGAGCTTATCAGGAAGGCCGACCACAATGGCTTTTGAAAGGTAAATTAGAGTCCGGCGTAAGTCTTCACGTAAGAGCGCAGACGCCAGTGTTATCAAAAGAAAGTGCACTGTACTGTGTGATTATCAGAGCATAGTACGCAAGTTTCATTGGCATATTCCTCCGTGGTTTGGCAGCATTTGAATACAGCTTGCCGAGTGATAGGAATACAAATGCAATAATGCTTACGAGACCGTTATCGAAGTGGATCCAACACGGGAACCGCTATTGACGTTAACTCGTCATGGCGGCTGTATTGGGAGTACATAGGTACCATTTATTGATTTGTTATCGAACTAGATCGCCGGCCGTGCAACCATGTAAGTGACGTTGCACCGACATTACACCGGCATGGGGTCTTTCTACAACAATGGGTGAGGGTTTTCTACAGAATACTGAAGTTCCACGCGGAAGGCTTGAATTCGATTACTGCTAGGCTCCCAATTTTTATTCTTTGAATTTGTTGCGTCAACGCTCCCAATATTGGTATTTGTTAATGCTCTCGCATTTAATCACTAATGTTTATCCTAGCTGTTCCTGTGTACATAGAAACTGTCATAGCCGCATACGGTGACCCGTTGTGTAGGGATATGTACAACGCGTGTCTGCAGAAAACGATGTTTTCGCGTATAAGAGTGGATGTTTACCTTACACATGTCATAGCCAGGCACACGATTGTCAAACTCTTTTACCTTTTTTTACCCATTTCGTACGACTACATATTAAAAAAAAGAAGCACGAGAGCACGCAGACGTAGGCGGATACATAGACGCGTAGATAGAAACACTCAAATCGCACTTGGTTCACTATGCAATGCCTCGAATTTATTATTAACATTGTGGAGAAATTGCTCTTAGCATCGTAGGTATGTGCTTAAAAGCATATTTGCCGCTAGTAGGTTGCAGACGGAAGAACAGAAGCGTGACGACAAGAGTGGCTCGTTGGCATACATGAAATTTTCACAACCTCTATGTACATAGTCAAAAAACAGATCCCTTGGATCACTTGGCTGACAGTGATCACGCTGGGCGCAGCCAAATTTGAGTAACAGCTTCGGTATCACTGTCTTAGAAGCAAGAGCGACTATATCAGAGTGACTGTTGCATTGAGCTGGTCTTCTCTGACATGCGGTGTGATGAGAAGTGTTGTCGGAGGTTGAGACCATAGTTTCGGTGTCGACAACAGCACTTAGGATTCAGTAATAGCAAAGAGCAACAAATGCTCATTGAGAAAAAATGCGTGAGGTGTTAATCCACTAAAATGACGCAATCAACCGTGCTCTGTACTATTAAAACCAAGCAAGCTTGACACAGCGACGGCAACAGATATAGGAAAATTCATACATGTAAATGCACTCATGAAGCACGCCAATGCGCTGGATGGCCCACAGACTATTTTACGGGTAAAGAACACACAGAACATTGCAGACGCAATCGCGAAAACTAGTTATGATAATATCTGCAAGTCTCGGAGGCAACGCATCTATACCTCAGGTACTTTTCTTCCACGCACACGTAGCCATTGCGCTGAACATCATGGTGGCCACTGGGGCCGCGTAACTGATTAATTTGAGCTGTAAATTATACCTTGAGATGCTCAATTGAATGAAACTGCGTATACATACTGCTCAGATGAATGGATGCCCAGATAAATGGACCTGCCCAATATACATTATTCTGCGGATACCTGTAACCTTAACTTATACGGTGATCTCAGGGGAAGAAATTAATTATTTATTCAGACTTTCATCATCAATAAAGTGGTTGCCAGTGTTTGTAAATCATTCCGCCGCCGAAGTGTTCTCTTGTTTTCAGCTAAATAAATTTTTTTTCTCATTGCACATTACTTCTAGAGTTTGGCAAAGCTTTCTTAATTTGAAGAAAAACTGGTTATCTTATGAAATGAATGAATAGTAGCGCGTATTCAATATCAATGCATGTGTTATGGCTTTGTCTGTGGCACGTGAACGACGTATACATATATCGATTATGTTAAAAAAACTTTTTTTTTCAGCTGGACACGGAATCACATATGAACTGCGGGTGAAAAATTCTTCAATAGAAAGAGCCAATGAGACCGACTGCTTCAAAGTATACAAAAAAATGGCGCAGAAAGCTAAAGTCACATACCTACCAGATTGCCAAGACTTACTGATAGGAATGAACAACATTCTACCTGGTGGTAGCCCTGATAATGGAGCCATCGGGCTACTTTACTTCATATACCCTTATGTATTGGCTCCCGCAAGCCTTTTCGAGCATCTGTTGTGATTGAAAAGAATATTTCTTCCAACATGGCTGACCAAAAAATGCGATCTTTGTCACCATTTCACTAGCTACCGAGAGAAAATTTGTTTTCAATTGACATACTTTGTATATCCATCGTCAATAAGGGAAAATGAAATGACCGAGACGCTTTGGTGCCAAGATACCAGAATAAAAATGTGCGCGTGACACAGCAACAAAGAGAAAACTTGTTGACTCATTATTCAAGTGAATTTGTCAAAGACAAGCAGTACGGGTAGAATGGCAGTACTGTCGTGTTAAGTATTCATTCTCCGAACGCCCAGTGAAAGTTGATGAACGTTAGATTGTCGACTAGTTTTCAGCATCAGACTGTATTTCACATGACATTCTAATACAGTCAAGAGTCTTCTTAGTTCTGCATGAGAGACCTATACTAGTGACCCAATAGTGGTGGCCACATTTCGATGGGGGCTAAATATTCAACGTCAGATATCCAGAACTCCCACCATGGGACGCTATTGAATGTTTGTTTTGAGAGCTATTTAGACATGACGTCATACCACTTCCCAGACGCGACGTGTGAAACGAACAAGTGCAAATCAAAAGTAACACAGGCAGCCAAAAAGAAATCATGAATGTATTGCGCTTTGGTCAAGTTAATTTGATAAAATGCGCGCCAGAAAAGAAATAGGAGTGAATAAACTCACAAGAAGCGTCCGACATGTACCGACAAAAAGTGTTGGGATCATATAATGTTACAAAACGCTACTAGGCATACATATGTAAGGAAATAGATGCGTTTTTTCATATATGTTTATTTAGCAGACGTTTCGATACGATCAGCGTCTTTTTCAAGGGATAATAATATTTACAAATTTTTCGAGGGACAGGAGGGAACGGGACAGAAGAAAAAGTTGCCCGAAGAAAAAGGGGGAAAAGAGAAACGAGCAAAAAGTAGAAGAAAAGAAGAAACAAAACAATGAAAAGAAGAAAAAGAAAGAAAACACGATGGGATTGGGAAGGGGTGATATCTAAAGAGAGTAAGGCGAAAGAGAACATTGTAATTGTAGGAGCTATGCCATCACAATACACCCGATGCATTTTCTTCAGATGCCATAACTTGCTCATTTCACTGTGTGTTTCTTTCATGTAATTCTTTTATTTTTCTTTCCTTTCTTCGTGTCTTCTTTCCTTTCTCTTTATTTTCTTCCCCCCCCCTTTTTCTTTTTCGTTCATCTTACCCTGCTGCCCTGCTGTTCCCTTCCCTCGTGTAACTCGGAAAATTTGTGAAGTATATTACGTCTTGAAAAAGACGCCGCTCCCACCAAATCGTCGGTTAAATAAACAGTTATCTGAAAGCGCATCGATTTTCATATCTCTACACACACACACACACACACACACACACACACACACACACACACACACACACACACACACACACACACATATATATATATATATATATATATATATATATATAATGTAACAGTCTAGAAGAAGGTAGAG